CAGAAAATATTGGGGTTTTTGTTGTCAATATCACACACTAGGGCAATACTATAGTTCCTCTACCTTCCCAGTTCTGCTGATTGATTGAATCCTCTCCATGCACTATACATTTGTACATTTCTGTTCACTGTTAATGCAAGTCACCTTGATAGTAACTGTCTGCCAGATAAGCAGGATGCTTCATGTTTTAAAGTAAATTAGACTGCCATTTATAGAAGATGATTTTTATGTCTGTGCAGGGAACATCAGGACCGGATCCTACGACTGTCTATGTGGACATGAGAGCACTGAGACATGACAGGCAAGACACACACACACATATTTTAGGTATTTCATTATTTCCATTCTTAGAATTAGAACAGATACACTACCAATCAAAAATCTACAAATTGGGTACAAAATAGTGCCTGAAACTTTTAAACAAATGTTGCCTCAGAAGATGAAACTAAATATTAAATAAATAATTTAGATTAATATGAAATATTTTCAAAATGTTTACTACTATATAATATATTGCTAAATATGAATGTATTTTTGTATGATTTATTTCTGGTTTGCCATTTCTGAAGTGTGTCTGTGTGTGTTTGTAGGGTGAGACTGGTTGAAAGAGGATCTCCACACAGTCTACCTCTCATGGAATCTGGGAAGGTAAGTAAGACAATTAAAAGTTTCTTTATTTGTTTTCTTAAATTAAATGTAAGCCACATTCATTTTTAAATCATTTTTGAACAGATTTTACCTGGTGTACGCATCATCATCGCTAACCCAGAGACAAAGGGACCAATCGGAGACTCTCATTTAGGGGAGGTTAGACCAAAAGCACTCTCTCATCTATAGATCAAAAAATATCTTCTCATAACCAAGCATCTCACTTGTGTTTCTTTTTTAAAATGAGTGCAGATCTGGGTCCATAGTCCACAGAATGCCAGTGGGTACTTCACTGTGCTCGGAGAGGAAAATGTGCGTTCGGATCATTTCGGAGCCAGGTTGAGCTTTGGAGACACTCAGACTGTGTGGGCCAGAACCGGATACCTGGGGTTCCTGCGCAGGACCGACCTCACTGATGCAAGTGGAGGTGTGTGTTCAGTGTATACTGTGCTTTTTGTCACAAAGATATCTGATTTGCATTGAGTTGTTTCATTTGTGTGTTCAGAAAGGCACGATGCCCTTTATGTGGTGGGAGCGTTAGATGAAGTCATGGAGCTGAGAGGTATGAAATACCATCCCATTGACATTGAAACGTCCATCATCAGGGCACACCGGAATATCACAGAGTGGTGAGCTCACACACACAGCCACATATTCACACTAAGGCCAGTACACTATGTACTGTAAATATGTGACCCTGGACCACAAAACCAGTCTTAAGTCACTTGGGTATATTTTTAGCAATATCCAAAAAAAACATTGTATGGGTCAAAATTATCGATTTTTCTTTTTAATGCCAAAAATCATTAGGATATTAAGTTAAGATCATGAAGATATTTTGTAAATTTCCTACCGCAAATATATCAAAACTTAATTTTTGATTAGCAATATGCTAAGAACTTCATCTGGATAACTTTAAAGGCGATTTTCTCAGTATTTGGATTTTTTTTGCACCCTCAGATTCCAGATTTTTAAATAGTTGTATCTCGGACAAATATCGTCCTATCCTAACAAACCACGCATCAATGGAAAGCTTATTTATTCAGCTTTCAGATGATGTATACATATCAATTTTGAAAAATTTACCCTTATGACTGGTTTTGTGATCCAGGGTCACATATGCTAATTAGTGGTGGGAGCTATGTCAACCGATAAAATTATTTTATATTACAATAAAAGTATATAAATATATAAAAGTATACCGTTCAAATTTTTTTTAATGTTTTTAAAATTTTCACCAAGGCCGCATGTATTTGATCACAAAAAAAACAGTAAAATCAGTATTATTGTGAAATATTATTACTATTTAAAATAAATGTTTTATATCTTAAAATGTAATTTATTTCTGTTATGGCAAAGCTGAATTTTCAGCATCATTACTCCAGTTTTCAGTGTCATGTGATACATCAGAAATCATTTTAATATCGTGATTTGATACTCAATAAATATTTCTTATCATCAGTGTTGAAAACCGTTGTGATGCTTACCATTTTTGTGGCAACCGTGATCTTTTTTTTTTTTTGCAAAATATTTTTAAAGAATAGAAAGCCCAGAATAACAGTTTATTTGAAATATCTTTTGCAACATTATAAAATGTCTTTTTCATCACTTTCAGTCATTTTAATTAATCCTTGCTGAATAAAAGTATTAATTCCTTTAAAAAAAAAAAGTCTCATTGACCCCGAACTTTTAAACAGTAGTGTATACATATCAAATATACTTATTTTTACTGGAAATACAACCCAAAACATTTCATATTTTAGGCATCCATGTAGGAATTCTTGTTTATGATGATTAAATGATTAAAATAGTTTATAACTGAAAGGTATTTCAAAGGTATGGTGAAATCAAAACTAAGTGTTATTATTCATAACAACTGAATAATAAGTCTGAGATATGCACTAAAAAAAAACCCAGCTGCTGCACATTAAATAAAGCTTGAATTAATAACCAAAGGCTTCACACTTAAAAATGATTAAATGAGCCACATTCAACATAAACATGTATTTTTACTGGCAGTAACAAACCTCAGTATTCAAGGAAGCAGTGGTTTCCTTCAAATGTCTGTGTCCTTAAACCGGATATGTTATTATTCAGGTAGCCATCCATAAACTTGTTTGCTCAGCAAGTTTCTCTTCATAATGTTGCTGACAATAGAGTAGTTGACCTGAGAGAGAAAACTGACTGCAGAAGTCAGTCAGTCAGAATCAAGAGTTTATGCTAATGCCTAGCGTAGTTGCATTGCGCAAACGTGTGAAATGGAGCTTGCACAGCTATTTTGTATTGACATATTTCCATAGAGTAAAGTTTAAACTTCCTCTCTCTCTCTCATTCAGCGCGGCGTTCACATGGACGAATCTCTTAGTGGTGGTGGTGGAGTTGGACGGTTCCGAGCAGGAAGCTCTAGATCTGGTTCCCATGGTAACTAATGTGGTTCTAGAGGAACACTACTTGATTGTTGGCGTGGTGGTGGTTGTGGACACGGGCGTAATTCCCATCAATTCTCGCGGAGAGAAGCAACGCATGCACCTACGGGACGGCTTCCTCGCCGACCAGCTCGACCCCATATATGTGGCTTACAACATGTAGAAACACGCACACTGATGATCTTAAAGACAGGCTCATTCTCATGATTGTTCATGGTTGTTCTCAGGCACAACAACCATGATTTCCAGCACCTTCTCACTGTCAGCACTTCTGTCAGCCTGCTAACTGTAGATTGAACACCCTCAAAATAGCAAACACACACTCGCATATCATTCACAGAGGGACTTGCAAGACTCCTGAAGCATATCTTTTTCAGTTTTTGTGTCGCCCAATATTTTGCTAGTGTTGGTTATTTTTTTAACTTGCACACTAAAATTTAATTTAAAGAACGGGGGATTTTATATGATAAATATTGCTGTTGCCAATTAAATTAATGTTATTTATTTGTGTTTTTAAACCTGTGGTCACAAATATACCTGTCATATTTGTGCTTTCATGTACGTTTCTTTGCATATCGTTGTTTTATGCTTGTCTTTGCTGTTGTCTTTGTTGATACACATTTTTGAAGTTGTATTAGAATATCACAAACTGACTTATCTAGCATGTTTATCATTTTAAAGATACTAATGTTAAGTCATTTTCATAATTGTTAATTATGTACAGAAAATTGTTTCAGTTTTGTCTAGCTTTTGCAATATCATTTTTGTGATTTAATAGTTTAGGCTAACATTTAGGTCATTTTATCATGTATATGAATAAGATCACATCTGCACTGTGATACGCATAAATATAGAGCTATGTGAACTAGAATTTGCATTCTAGATTAATTGCCCAGCATCAGCTGATCTCTCCTGTTTTATGTCTATATCTAGAGAGACAGAGCGAGGGAGGGATGGAAAGAGTGACAGAAAGAGGACATATGCACAATATGTTTATTATATCTTTATTTATGTTTGAAGCTTCCATTACCTGTAAGATACAAAAGCACTTTGATTATGTCACGATGTCTTTTCATATGTCAATAAAATATTTTCAACTATTCTTATGGAGAATACATATCTGTCTTGTAAACGTTTGTTGAAGGACCACAATGTACATGCACTGCCATCTAGTGAACAAAATGCATTAAAACCAGCTAATTTCCAATCAGTATTTTCTCATACATCACATAGGCTATATAACCCATTAATCCTGTAAAAATACAAAAACGTAAAATACAATATGAAGGGAAGGGCATGTTTAGCTGAGTGTTTTACTGTAATTTGGGAAGTCGTGGCCTAATGGTTAGCGAGTCGGAGATGGCAGAGTTCGAGTCTCGTACCGGCAGGGACTGTAGGTGTGGGGGAGTGAATGTACACACTGTTGCCAACTAATTTTCAGGGGAAGTTGCTAAATGAAGGTCGATGTGTGTGTGCACTTAAGGATGGGTTAAACGCAGAGCACTAATTCCTAGTATGGGTAACCATACTTGGCCACATGTCACGTCACGTCACGTAATTGTGTGCTTAATGGATACAAGTATAAGGAAAAAGCTAAAGTATTAACATTTTGTTATTTATGATTAGTCTTATTCTTATGAGTCAAACGGTTTCTATTGAGCTACTACCGCATGTCAATTATAGATTGATTTAGATTTAAAGTATGTTTTAACGTAAACATTGCGGCATATACAGTATTAATGCAAGTTTTTGATCTTTCTGGAATTTAATTTTTTTAGATAGATAGATTTGGCGCTTATGTTAATCAGAGTAATGCAAGGGTTTGGTCGATTTGATTTTTTATTTTTTTTTGCGATAGACAGACCGATAGATAGATAGACAATCAGTGTGTTAAATGTTGTCCACTAGGTGGCGCTTGTAGACCGCCTCTGCGCTCGTTGCGCCACCCTCGTTCTGCCAGCGAGAGTCTTCCTGTGCGTGTAACCCTGAGCAGCGGGTTTGGTCACACTCATCATGAGTGCTTGTGTTCTCGCAGGATGTGGTGAGCGCGAGAGGTGGTACCGCTCTCAGCTCGCGCGGTGACGGTCGGGACAGCGAGACGTGGCTCGGACAGCAGCTGGAAGACTCGAGCGAGTTAAAGTTCGTTGGAAAGGGCGGGAAATCACGGGCCGACGGCCGCCCCATACAAAGCAAGGTCGGGTGGGGAGCAATTTAGGGAGCAGCGCTGATCCAGTCATCTGGGCTCCTGGGAAGAGCCCGGAACCGAGCGACGCGACTCGTTTTGTTTTCTGACAAAGATTTGTAAACGTTTGAGATGTTTCTGTAGAAGCTCTCTTAGTTGTTTAGTTTTTACTTTTGTTGTTTGTTTTGGATTTGTGTACTTTGGAGATGAGTGCGTCAGTGAACGGAGTGGAACCCAAACCCGCACCGGCGGCCAGTCTGAACGGACCGGGTTCTGTTCCTCCGAGCCCCACCGATGTCAATACACCCGAGCCGGTGCTACCGGACGAGGAGCCGCAGTCCGCGGTGACGGACACCACGCAGATGGGAATCATGTTCGCCAAGACATTCCTGTTGATTTTGCCCATATACGTGCTGGGATATCTGGAGTTCAGCTTCAGCTGGGTCCTCATCGTCCTGGCCGCGCTGTTCTGGCTCAGACGGAACCAGGGAAGCAGATTCGCTCCGGTGAACCGGGCGCTGGCGTTTCTGGAGCAAGAGGAGCGAGCGGTGCGTCAGAGCGTCCGGAGCTCAGAGCTGCCGCCGTGGGTGAGTTACACACTGAACATCGCGTTACTCCAGTCTGTTAATGTTCCACACGGGGAACTTGGACCTCAGCCTTGACCTATAGGTCTTACTCAGAGACAGACATTGCTCTGCGTGTGTGTCGTTAAAATCTGATGTTGTCAAAAGTTTGTGTATTCACTGCCATTGCTTGCATACCTGAATGAGTAACAAATCTAATCAAAACCACAAATTGAAACTCAAGTATCAAAACTGCACCCATTAAACAAGAGCAGAATCACTCTCAAGGTCTTCTAAAATGTTTTTATTTTAAGTATTTCATATGTCTTCATTAGAGAGAGACAGATTATGGCGTTAACCATTTTTCCCCATATTCAAATTTTTCTTATTATTAACACTTTTCTACTACTTTGCATAAATGTACTATAATGTGCACTAACTAATAATACAAATTATAATATTATTTTGAAATGAATAATAAAAATATTTATAATGTGGATATCACTTATTGGACATTATAAATTAAAATAATATTTATTAGTCATAGTAAAAGTAAAACATTGCATAAATGTAATGACATTTGTAAATAAAATACTTATAATACAATAAAAATCACTTAACTTTTCACTACGCAAAATATTTGATACAAAAAACTTTTTTCTAAATAATATATTTATTATATATAAACACTTTTACTATGACCAATGAAGATTATTTTTTATTTATAATGACTGATATATAATGAATTGATATCCACATTTGATTTTTAATGTTTATATTGTGTATATATCTGTTCAGCACCACCATAGAGTCCAAGACAAACTTCTCTTACAATGAAGTGTAATTAAATAGTAACGTTAGTAAGTATTTGCACAACTCTTTCTTATTTATAAGCTTTCATGTCAGGCACATTGATTATGATCACATGAAATGCTCAAAAATATATATATTGTGCCCTTAGGCCTAGGTGGACTTTTAAGGCTTTCAAGAATGTGCACTGACCGTCCACTAATTTAAATACTAGATGAGACGTCTATTGTGGGTTTGACTCTGATAATACATTCTGAATGTGAAATATTAATTCAGAGGCTGCATTCGGAGTCATTTTTCATGAATTTGAATCCTTGTGGGAAATCTTCAAAGCTCTAAGCACAAACAAGGACAAGTAAGGTTGACAAGTCTGTTTCATTTGGCCTACAGACTTTGGTGTTCTGTTACTTTAAACAAATGAGTTTGCTGTCTAACCTGAGATCATAGTTCTGGCATATTAGCAGGCCTGTGTGCTGAAAGCGGCATTCAGGGACACAAAACTCCAGTGTTCACTCCATTAGCTGTAAATCACTGTCTTCCCATGGCCAGGACAGGCTGGCATTGTTCTTTCTTTCGGTTTTAGGCTGATATTAAGTAACATGAACAGGTAATTCGTGAAACTCAGGTTGACTGATTGTCTGATTTGGGATTGGTTGATGGTCTGTTTGATTGTGAGTCAGTGTTATTTTAATATAATTGATGATATACTAATATCATTTTATTAATATTTTGAATTTTGATTTTGTTTTCTGTTTTCTCTATCATTTTAATTTAAAATCAATTTTACTAGATGAGACGTCTATTGTGGGTTTGACTCTGATAATACATTCTGAATGTGAAATATTAATTCAGAGGCTGCATTCGGAGTCATTTTTCATGAATTTGAATCCTTGTGGGAAATCTTCAAAGCTCTAAGCACAAACAAGGACAAGTAAGGTTGACAAGTCTGTTTCATTTGGCCTACAGACTTTGGTGTTCTGTTACTTTAAACAAATGAGTTTGCTGTCTAACCTGAGATCATAGTTCTGGCATATTAGCAGGCCTGTGTGCTGAAAGCGGCATTCAGGGACACAAAACTCCAGTGTTCACTCCATTAGCTGTAAATCACTGTCTTCCCATGGCCAGGACAGGCTGGCATTGTTCTTTCTTTCGGTTTTAGGCTGATATTAAGTAACATGAACAGGTAATTCGTGAAACTCAGGTTGACTGATTGTCTGATTTGGGATTGGTTGCATGGTCTGTTTGATTGTGAGTCAGTGTTATTTTAATATAATTGATGATATACTAATATAATTTTATTAATATTTTGAATTTTGATTTTGTTTTCTGTTTTCTCTATAATTTTAATTTAAAATCAATTTTGTTTTATTTTTTACATTTTTATTAGTATTATTTTTAAAATATGTCTACCTAGTTTTATTTATTGAGTTTAGTTTATTTAGTTTAAGTTTTAAGTTTTTATTTAGTTTAAATTTTAGTACTTTGTTAAACTAAACAAAAAATGAGAAATGTTGCTTTAATAAAATAAAATATAAGTTTAAGCTTTTTATATTAATTGATTTAACATTTATTTTAAGTAACAAAAATGTTTTTTATTTTATGATTTTAATATAGTTAACTTTAATTGTGAAAATGTATTAATCAAAGATGAAACTCACTGCACACTCATATTAAATGCTTAACTTTGTAATAACCATCTGTTTTCAGTTAATGTGTTTGAGTGAAGTGGTCTGCCTGTGTGTGTTTGTAACAGGAACTAGTGAAATATTGTTTATTTGTGTCAGATGCGGGCTGTATATGGTGAAAGAACCTGGTGTGGTGTGTTACTATAGTAACTGCCATTATGACATTTGATGTTATTATTATGACATCACCAAAGCACTGTGAGTCACATGCTTGAGGAAATGTTGCCATAGTGACCTGTCAATCAGATTAGGCGCACCACGTTCTGTTTCTGAACAATAGTTTGGTCGAGCAGATACAGTGACACTTTACCTGGAGGGCAGGTATTATAAAGGCAGTGCTCCTGCCCTGTTGTGTCTGTGTTTGTGCATGTGTTAATAACTAACAAGTGAATAATTATCAAACATGGCAATGAAAAGCCAGTGAAGTTTTAGTTTTATTAGCTGGACCATCAAGGGTTTTTGGTTTGTCCAAGCCTTTCTGTGTAACTCATTCACTTCTGAGTAGTGGTCGACAGATATAGGATTTTTGGCGGGAGAGCAGGGCGGTCAATGTGCATAAAAAAGCTGATATGTATAATAAAATATACATAAAAAAATATTTAAGAATGAAAAAATAACACATGCATAACAATTGCTGTATTTACATTTATTTTCCGTAATATTTATGAAAATAATTTGTAAATGAATCAATTTGCAAATTAAAAAAACTAAGTAATAATAATAAGAATTTGAACTTAAATTGGTCAACCACTTCTGAGCAGCGTTGCCAAATCCTTCTGCTGAAAATCTTCAGAAACAAATAGTCAAGCCTCTAAAGTATAAATGTTTTTCTCAAATATGGTCAAATAAAAAATATATTACATAGGCCTATGTATGTGTGTGTGTGTGTGTGTCTATAATAAAATATGTTGCAAAAATAACATTAGAAGTCATAGTAACCATAAGAAAAGCGTTTACTTTGGGGAACAACTGGCAATGCTGCTTCTGGGAATCAATATAGATTATTACACTAACGTAAACTTAAAATATAACATTTCTAAGCTTCAGATTCTTCTTATTTGCTAAATAAATACCTCAGAACTTCTGCAGTGCACTACAATACATTTACATTTACATTACATTTAGTCATTTAGCAGATGCTTTTATCCAAAGCGACTTACAAATGAGGACAATAAAAGCAGTCAAAACTAACAAAAGAGCAACAATATATAAGTGCAAATGACAAGTCTCAGTTAGCCTAACTTAGTACACGTAGCAAGGTGTATTTTTATATATATACAATACAAAATAGGGCTCCAACAGGCTGTTGCAAAACAGTTTTTTGTCTCAGTTAGCCTAACGCAGTACACGTAGCAAGGTGTATTTTTATATATATACAATACAAAATAGGGCTCCAACAGGCTGTTGCAAAACAGTTTTTTATGCAAGAGACGCCTTTGTGTGTGTGTGTGTGTGTGTGTGTGTGTGTGTGGCTGATAGATTTATTACAGTATGTTTGCTTTACTGTCTGATCAAAGTCACAAGGGCCTTAAGAGAGTGTGTTTGTTTAGCTAGTTCTTCTGTTGTCTCTTCTTCTGTATTAGGTGCTGAGAATATGGCCGGTTCTTTCCTTGCTTTGCTCAGCTCCAGTAGTTTTTTCATAAGGGCTAGAGATTGTTAGCACTCATCTTCTGCATTGATTTCGAATATGAACGTGGTTTAGCGCAGCTCGTCAGTGAACAACGGCTCTGTGTAGTTAATGCTGCTCAATGTGAAAGCACGCAGGTGATGGAGATTTACCGCTGATTACAGAACCGGCTTTACTGATAAGATCCGCGTTAAATATCGCATGCGATTAATCGTGCAGCCCTAATTTCCACCCATAGCCATCCTCCTGTTGTTTCAGGAAGCACCGTGTTCTTTAGGACAGTTTGTCTCTCTCCTCTTGTCTCGTCATTTGTCTTTGACTGAATAACTCACTTATATCAGCAGATCTGTCCATCGCCGGCCTCATTCATCTCGTCATCCTGTCATCACTGTCTGTAAATTGTTGAGGGGTGTCAGTCTGTATGTTCTCTCTCAGCTGAGATGCTTGTTTACTTCGCCATTCATCAACCCAAACAAACTCTTATTGATCAAGTAAGGAGTAAATAGAGCTTTTTTTCTTGGGTTTAGTTCACCCAGAAATTAACATTCTGCCATCATTTACTCATATTGCTTGAAACTGATCTTGCTCTGTCTTGCTAATCATTCACTGGTAAAAGTCTTACGAGTTTAATGATGCATGATGTATCAGTAAAGTATTAGTTGTCAGCCAATATTACTTTAATTTGTTTAAATATGTATGGTCTGATATTGGATATTATAATTGTGCATGCTCATTTCCATCTATTTTAACATTTAGATTGCCTTTGAGTCTTGCAGCACACACTTAATACACTTTAATAACACTAATAATTATTACATTAAAATGTTGTGATTTTCTCTAGCATTTATAACTAATGATTTTATTTCTATTGCATGTTTTTGTGTGTTTGTTTGTTTGTTTTT